GCTTGACGTCCTCGAAGGACTCGCAACCTCCCGGGGATGACTTCTTCGCGTCTGGACTGTTGTAGTTTCTGGCCAGAAGAGCTTGTGCATTCCGGAGCTTTAGTCCTCCTGGCGCGATGATGTTGTTGTCGCTGCATCTCCACCTCCGGGCGTAATTTCCGTTTTTGACGGAGAGCTGTCGTGACCTGTCGTTGTGGGAGCTAGCTTTGAGTGCAACATGGTTTGATCCGCTCATCGCGGTGGGCGGTGCACTCAGGGAGCCTGCTTCCTTGGATGCACGTGCCTCCAAGGGACAGCTGATAGTTCACCAAGAGGTATCGCCCGGCTTGTCTATGAACAAAGATTGGATCCTGGTTCTAGGTTTGGCCTGTTAACTAATCGGTGCCTTGAGACATCCCGGGGTTATAACCCCGATAGTATCAACCGGACCGAGCGACCATGGTTCGACGCCTTCACCACTAGGGTTCAAAGCCAGCGTAAGCAAACGGCCCGACTAGGGTTAGGTACTAGACCCTCACACCATGGTTCGGCCCCTTGCCAAGTCTAGGTCCGACACCCTTTTCTTCTCCTTTTCAACTCCTTTCTTCCACCCTTACTTCCATGTGCTAACACCATTGTGTCCCAACATATGTGAACGTGTGTTAGCATTTTCCAAAGCATTTTTAAGGGTTAAGTTAGTCCACACTAGGTCCTAATGCATATACATGAATGACATCACCTAGTGGCACTTGATAATCACTTTTACCATGATTTTTCCTCTCTTCATAGTACGACTATCTATCCTAAACCTGGTCACACTCTCTATAGTGTCTTGACTAGCAAAACAAAATGGCCCTATCAAGTATACCTTTGCCTTGAGCCTATTTTTGTTTTTCTCTTTCTTCTTTTCCAAGTTGGAGCACAAGATCACCATTTTTTGGCCACCTCCATCACTTGAGTGCCTTTTGGCTCCACCACTTGGAGTGTACCAACCTATCTCATATATCACATAGAGCAAAAGGTTAGTACAATAAGGTTTCATCAGTTATCCAAAACCAAACTAGGGCTTTCAGCACTCTATTGCGTCTCGGCCAATGAAAACTAAAGCCCCCTAACATATACCTTTGCCTTTGGGATTATTTCCATCATTCCATCTTCTCCAAGTGTAAGCTTGCTCCAATCGGATTGATCACCCTTCATCCATCCCCAAGCCTTGCTCACCACCTCGGTGTGGGCCTAACCTAATTTAAACAACACTTAGCAAAAGGTTAGTCCACTAGTTATCTCAATTACCAAAACCAAACATGGGGCTTTCAAATATGCTTAATTAATCTTGGGGATGTATTGAGATGCATAGCTGGGATTACTAGGGCTATTCATGTAATCCAAGGTCCATCACGGGATGATAATATGGTCTAACTAGAATAATTTGGGAGGTTACTCACACTTCCACCTAAAACCTAACGAAACATGGTAAAATTCCTTCAAGTCTCCAAAAAACAAAACTAATACGAGATCGAGACCGAAACTCTAGTTTGATGTGCATGTGTCAGTACACTAACACATCACGTGATGCACTCCCTACTCTTTCTTGTGGAGCTAGCCCAGATCTATCACTCTCTCTCACACGCACACACGAAAAACATTACTTCTCTCTCACCCTCTATATTGGACCACCAAGCGAAAACAACCTTATCTTGCTCCCTCCTCCCCTACCCCTGTCCTCTCAAATTTGGCAGAAGGGAAACTCGGAAAGGGTGGTTGTCTTCTCCATCACCATCAAGGCATGGTGGTCGATCTCTCTATATATGGCAAAGGGATTAGAGAAGGTGGGTGGTGATAGCATATCCATCGCCACTACCATTGAGTAGGAAAGACATCATCGCCCTCTCCTCCTTCTACTTCTTTTACTTCCTTTCCTTTTTTTCTCCTACCCTCTCTTTCCATTTTAGACCTAATCAAGGGGAAACTTGGCGATGATGGTGGCATTTGCCAATACCATTAGGGTGGCCATAGTGCATCAACATTTGCTGCCATCAGTGATAGATCCAGAAACGAGGCCAAGAAGGGGCCAATTGGCCTTGGATGTTGCTGCAAGATTTGGATCTACCCACTGCACATAAGCCACCACCGGCTGCAAGGTCCTAGCCTCTTAGGGGTTTGGGTCTTTATGGGAAATGGCTAGGTCCTAGCGAAAGATTAGGAATTTACTACTGCCTAAAACGTGAGTGCCTACCAAAGATGAACAAGAGAAGCGGAGGAGGCAAGGAGTGAGCGATACCAAGATACATTGTTGTCTGCCTATGGTGGGGATGGTTCAATGGGGCTAGGACTTTTTTGGCTTCTTAATTGGATAGTTGATGGGCTCATATTTGATGGGGATTATTAATTTCCTTGGGATGAACCTAGGCCGCTATAGCCTCCTCTGCCTCCCCCATCCCCCAACCCAACGAGAAAGAGTCGTGATCTCCATCTCCCTCTCCTTACCCTCCTTTTCCTTAATTTCCTTTTTCTCCCTTATCTTTTGCTTTTAGATCTAGCAGAGGGGAAACTTTGCAACGATGGAGACCTATAAGTAATGGTGAGTGCCCGAGACCCAAGAGAGGAGGGGTGAATTGGGTCCCTAAAACCTTATTCAAGTGTTCTATTTGATTTGCACTAGAAAAACAATAAAATAGCTAGCAACATATGCACCTATATTTTTGCTAGTGTGCTCTACTTACTCAAACCCACTAAGGATTTTTTTAACCTAGAGCCAATCATACCAACTATCCTATGCTAATCTGAGAAAGATAAAGGTCACATGAGGTAAGTAAAGGATCGAGCAAGTAGAAACTCCTAGGACATGGTGATGTATCATGTGTTGCTAAAACGCACTTCTAGTCCACGTCAGAGCTTGGTCACTATGTTGGACATGACACAAGGCTCTCACTGATCAAGAAAAGTGCCACAGGTAACTAAGACTCGTCACTTGGCACCCAACGATCCCAATTACCTTGGTGTCATCCGCTACGTGGTTCTCCACCAAGGAAGGAGTCTCCTCATCTTCTACACACTAAGTTTGTCGTGCTCCACACTAAGCTCAGAGGATCAACATCGTTGTCAAAGAGCCACAAAGGCTCAAAATGCTCCGCAAGAGCACAAAGCCCAAGCTCACAAGCTAAAGCCTAATCTATATGCTAAATAAGGTACAATCCTGGCATTGGGTTTAAACAATAATCGTATGGTGGATGGAATTATCTTAGGCTTGTAGTAGCATTAGCATGCTCTAATAACTCCCAGATGACAACTATATATATATATATATATATATATATATATATATATATATATATATATATATATATATATATATATATATATATATTTCTAACTACCAGACTATCTAGTGCGTTATAGCCATTGGACTAGCCGTTGTTCTAGTCCGGCGCTGATTGTCTGGTGCCCTCTTTTTCACTGGACCATCCGATCCATTGACCTCCACAATTTCCACAAAGACCCTAGCTTATGTGGCCTATCCTTCCATTCCTTAGGGGCCCGTCCGTTTCTCTGAGAATTGGAGCCTGGAATGATTCCCACCCGAAACCATAGGCTATTTTGTATAGCAATTGAATGGCCGAAACTATTCATAGCCTCATTCCACAGTAACCGAATGAGCCCTTAATTGTCCGGCACTCAATGAGCTGTTCGTTAGTTGGTTTCTGGGCTGATAAACTTGGCTAGTGCTGATTTGTTATGAGAGAAAAACACTGTATCATGGTTGATAAGCCCTGGCTAAAACCAACGAGCGAACATGCTAAATACTCCATCAGCGGACCGTTTGGGTGTTGGCTGAACATACCTGTTGATTATCTCATGCTCTCATTTTTCATAAGATGCGTACCATTCTGTGCTCACACTTTTCTCTATTCTTTTTATTTCTTCTTAGTTCCTTATAGAATTTTTGCACCACTTGTTTCCTTATCTCTAGGACTATCCAAACTTACATATCTTAGCACGTATATGTTAGTCCTGCACACATTAATTAATCCTATCAATTTGGTTGTCATTATAATTAACAAAATAACTAAGATGGCCAGGGGCCCATATTCCTCAATGAAATTCACCTCCGCTCGGATTTCACTGCCGCCGAAGAGATAAGCCACGAGAGACCAAATATAACCCTAGGTTCATTTTTATTTGATTTTCACTTTTCTAATGAACTTTCTGATGTTTTTTTTTTTTTATCTTGAAACCTTTTTGTGAAGTTTTATTTATTTTCAAATGAAAATATTTTTGAAAAAGGTTTTGTAAAAATATCTCATTTTTTATTTTTCCAAAAATGGAGATTAAAGAATATTTCTAAAACCTAAAATATGTAGAAAGGCTTCCATAAATTTTCTAAAATGTTCAGTGAAAATTCTACAAGCTTTCTGTAAAAACATTACTGAAAAAGTTTGGCAAGTTTTTTTAGAAAAAAAAACGAGGGTTGCTATTGTATCATGCTCAATTAGCTTACTGATGTTCATGTTGATGACCAAATCAAACCATTGTTTCATTGTGCTAAACACCACCTCGATCTATAAATGCAAAGAATCAATCATGGGAAAAAAATACAAAACAGTACATTTATAAAGTTACATGTATGCTGGGAGGAATACCCCAATTTCTACATGACGCCGCCACACACCTCAACAGAACGAACAAGGAAAAAATATCCATAAGTTAAGCTATATGCCAGTCTATAATTCTCATCGACGCTAAAAGTTTTTTACTTGTACACACAAAATGATCTCTAGAAAATTGCACACTCAACCTTAAACGTCCAATACGGGAAGGGCCGCCACTTATGTTTCATTCAGTCACTTCACAGTTGTGGGTTATACCTTCGGTGGAGTTCCTTCAGTCACTGTCTGCACAGACCAAAACTGTTGTGATGTAAAAAGGCTCCGAAAGCCAAACTGGTTCATTCTGCATTGGCCAAGCAGCCCATCGATGCAGAGGCCTCTTTGTTTGTTGGAGGATGCACCTCTGCTGGGTGTTCATGTTGACGTCCCTGACTGATGGTGCTCCAGGTTCCTGAGGACAATCCTGGCAAAGATTTTGGCTTCAATAGAAGCTGTTGTCGCTGCCGCCGCTGCACGCAACACTCGACCTGCTCCTACTTCCTGCAAGAGACCTGCGTGGTGCACCGCATGCCGACCTCCTGGGATTGTGAACTGCAGTATTTCAGAGTACTTCTCATCAGATCAGATGACAAGAAGATACACAAAGTTACAAAGTGAAGTCTTCGTTGTGCGCATACAAGTATATGGGAAAGAGAGAAGACATGCGACAATGAGCAGTTAGATACTGTAATTTTCAAGCCAAGCATAGAAATGGGTAATCAATCTTTGGAATGAGCCAAATGAAACAAAATATAATAACTGACAAAACAAAGAGCTAACAAATTGGGACAGTTTGAATCATGGAAAGGAAGAAAAAAACAGGGAAAAGCTGTACAAGCTGTGGTTAGTCGTCATGCTTCCAATTTGAGAATACTCTTCAGGATGCGCATAAAGTAGAAGTAGTGAAGCAAAAATACTCTTTGCATGTGTTTAAGTTTAATACATGAATAAAGTATAGGCATATTTGTGCGTCAGGACCTATTTCGAATTGCAGATTCAAGATGGTCAGTTCGGTGCTTCATCTCCGCTACCCCATTTTAAATTTAGCTTAGTTACAGACTCATGCGTTTTATAGTACTATACAAGATGCTGAGACAGATGAAAGAAATATAACACTCACTGTCAACAAAGCAGCCAGAACTGCTCTTGTAATGGACAGTATGGCCCATGTCTCAAACAATAATGACTCTAGATAGAGCTACAAGATAAACAGCATTATCAGTTGAGAAGGGATAAAGGAAACAAACCTGAAGAAGGGCAAAGGCAGCACAAGCACGAAGAATTGGTGAAGGATTCCGAAGCATGGCAACAAATCTACCAATCTCAGAGCGACTGGCGAAAGTAAGCATCATATTAGTACTATGTTGCTCTAACTACATATCATGACAAAAGATGAAAATAAGATGCATGCAACAAATATGAATCCTCCAAAAGGAACTTCATATGCTCTGAGTAAGAACTTCATAAAGACTCAAAACTAAATGTAGAGCCAAACCTGCATCTCAGGTGCCCAGCTTCGTGTATAAACACTGCATCAGCAACATGAGACAGTGCTGCCGGGGCTGAGGAGGCAGCAGCCATAGAGAACATTTGTGGATCTGAGAAAGTGAGCACAAAGGTTTCTATATGCTTAAATGCTATTCTTCTAGCTCCCTCAACATTAACACTCTTGGAACTGCTATCCGAGGATGCTCCAACCAAAGCAACTTCATCCATTCTGTCAGTTCAAAAGTTTCAGATTTAGACATCTGATGATCATATATATCGCATTAGGAAAATCTTGTACAGAGTACCCAGATGCTTCATAAACGCCCTACAACACAATTTTTCAGTGAAGCAATACTACATGAGCCATATATCAATAGCAAGCAACTATTATTGCATATAACATGCATAGTTCACTTGAGTTGTTACAAAGGAAATGGGAAATTATTTGATAAAACAATATACAACTAAGAATAATACTACTGATGAAAGATACCATCGGTCCCATCTATATAAATTTGTCAAGTGCCAAAAATACATTGTACCTTATGGCTTATACAATTTAGGGCATGTTTGGATCTCCTAGAGATTATTAGAATAACTGTAGAATTTGGATTCTGGATTAAAAATAAAAAGGTATGTTTGGATCCCTGGATTATAGACAGAGATTATAGATAGTTGAAGGTGCTTCACACCCATTATCTGTAAATAGTATGGTGGAGGTGGTTAGCTGGATCTGGTGGTTGGATAAGAATCTCCCTTGGAATCCACTTGTTTGGGTCTCATTCTCATAATTTAGGAGATCCAACAGGCCCTTAATGTGAGTGTTGAAGCTAGCAACGCTCCATGTCATGTGGTTTATAGAACGATTCTAACAACAAACATTGCAGTTTGACTTGCCATTTATGGAAACCGCAGCACCACACATCCAGACAAAACCAACCTAGTTCCTACATCTATATGAATGCAGATCTTCTGCAGGGCTGCAGGGCATGAACCTTGCAAATAACATTTAGACCTGCTAAACTTGAACTCTAAAGATTCAATTATCAGATCAGCAGAATATAAAAGCCAGCTTACAAGTTACAAATAGAACTTATAGCAATATATGATCAAAGAAATAGAACACGGTAAATGTCTAACAGATGGCTCTTCTGAATGTCAACACAGAAATCCTCCAAACTTGAAATGAACTTCATGAACACTATTTCATAAGCAAATGCATCATCTTAACCCTAGAAACATGATATGGATCCCATTCTACCAGTAGTAATAAATCAATAAAACATACAGAATTTTGAAGCCTAAACCGACAACAAAACTTGAAGTGCCGGCTGCTTTGTAGGCCTTGCTCAACTAAGAACTAAAAAAAAAGATTATAATATCAAATGGCCAACACATGAAGCAATCAAGAAAAGTTAGCAAAAATGGTACCTTCCGTCAAACATATATGCTAGTGCTAGTGCAGACATGAAGCGTGCCATCTTGGACCCTGATGATGAGCAAATTTTTACAAGAACAGGCACCCCACCTTCTTCGACTATGCGGAGAGCATTACCATAATAAAAGGCAAGATTCCATAGTGCCCCTGCAGCTGTCTCGTGAACATCCTGTGGAAACAGGGAGTCATTGTCTAAGCAACAAACATCTTTTTGTTTCCAATTTTCCAAGGCAGAAGTAGTAAGTATGAAAACTTTCTATTATAGACTATAATATTACTTAAAAACTGCAAAGTCCGAGCAAAAGTTACCAAAATAAATTGATGGCAATGATTAAATAAACAGTCTACTTGACTTGAAACCAGGCAGTTAAACTAAAAATGAATGGCACATGTGCGGCATGCCAACCTTTTAAATTTTCCAATAATTTATTTAAGAAATGAGAGAACGATGTGTTCATACAAATAAAACTATGTCACAACGGTCAATGGTTTCTAAAGTCAGCAAATCTGAGATCACTTGAAATAAAATACACCAAAGAAATTCAACACATTATTGAACAGTCTTTGCACATATCCATATCCATATCCATATCCATATCCATATCCATATCCATATCCAGAAGAATGAATCAAGAGCTTGCACATTTCAACGGTACAACTAACACTACCATGTGATTAACTTGAAAAAAACCAGAACATTAGGTAGACCATAAGCTGCCATGGTGCAGTCAAATGGGTTAGAACCTGGATACAGGCTTTTTCAGCCACATATTTAATGTTTTGTACATCTGGGCATTACTGACTAATGCATGACGGATACAGGGAAATCTCATGGCAATATTATGTATTGCCAACAGAAGCCTTTTATTCATAAAGTAAAAAGATAATACAAAATTCTTCAGTAACTGAACGTCTCCATACATGAACAGAAATTTGTCAAACTTGTTGACTACATCAAGTGCAAACAGAACTTACTTCAACCTCTGAGCGTGCCAATGTGAGCAAAGGTGCAACCCCACCACCCTGCCCAATTGCAATGCTGACCAATGCAAAGAAAAATTGAAGTTATCAACAATGTGGGAATCAAATATGACTACAAGAATGGCACAAAGAAGTTTCAAAAGGTTAAAGAATCAGGCACCTCTGAAATGGAACAACAAACATTAATTTTCTGTTCATGAACTTCCTTTCATAAGATGAACCCTATGCTACCACCATACATTACTTCATCAACAAAGGTTAATTAGAAATTTCCACGAAAATTTAAGCTGAACTACCATATGTTCATCAGCAAAAGGGTAGATGGTAAGGATATCATGGAACACAACATAGTAATAGGCTCAAGTGTACTTCATCAGCAATGCAGCCTCGCTTAAAGTGAAGGAGATAAAATTAAACTCAGAAGATTCTTTCATTTAGCACATAAGAACCAATTATAAGAAAGTGGTAAACTGGCAATGCCTTTTACACTGAAGTGTAAATACAACTGAAGGAACATGTTATCATTTAAAGTTACCTATTAGCTTCTGAAACAGATAATCCCCATAATGCACCAGCAGCTCTCTCCTGAAGGCCTTCTGAAGCATTCAAACATTGTTGCACTAGGGCAACCTAAGAAACAGAAGTCATTATCTGAAAAGGAGGACTATATATCTTCTATTCTATTCAAGTGAGATTGAGAATATATGGAAGGGCTAGGATAGAAGAGTTCCTAGAAATATTTTGGCATCCTAGCAGTATTACCAATTACTTTCTCTTGTTTGCATAGGCTTAGTGCCTTTGACATCGTACCTCACCATAAAATTCAAGATAATTCTTCTACAAAGATTGCAACCAAATAACTTTAGCCTACTTTAACTGTTATATTAAGACATCATCATTCTGCATCACTACAAAGTATATAAGTACAAGCCTCTTCAGAGATATGGCTTCTATTTAAATGTACCAGTTTGAAGCTCTTCAGCAAGTTATGTGTCGAAGAAGGAATAGGATAGGGATTCGAGTCTCTTTTGTTTGTTCCATGTTTTTGTACTCTGATTGGTGAAGTGTAGTCTAAGTACTATGGGTCTGTTGTAACTGGCTATACTCATTCACTTGTGAATCTTGGAGGCCGGAATATTATATTCCTTTTTCTAAAAAAAAAAAGCTAATAGACACCAAAGGGCATGAGGTGCAGAGGATGTGGGAGCAAAAGGGCTTACCAAAGCTTCAACACCACCCACTGCAGCAATGGCTTCACGGTTTCTGTCATCAAATGATAGATTCCACAAAGCACCAGCAGCTTCTTGTCTAATTTGATACATAGAAGTTGTGAATTATTAATGTAGATTCGTGTGAACTATTCAGGCAGAATGCAGGCATTAAGACTTGAAGGACATGCAAGTTGGATCATATCAAAACAGTTATATGTATACCTTACACCCTCGTTTTGAGAACCTGTTAGTTGCACTAGTGCCTCCAGAGCCCCTGCTTCCTGACCTACAGCAGCATTGTTGTCATTGTTGTCCCCATGTGCAGCTAAGTTAGCCAGACCTCTTGCAGCCTGCAAATATAAGAAAAGTAGCCTTAGAAACTAACAAAACAGCAAAAATATAACTGTTCAACTAAACAGACGTTTAGCATGTTTAAATGCCACAAAGTGGCCAGCGATATCCTTTTAATAGGCTGCTTATCCTTTTTAAACAGCCATTTAGCCCAAATAAATGGCAACAATAGGTGACCGGCTATTTAGCATTTAGGTGAACACTGAAAACTAGAGATGGTGAACATTAAAAAGACAGAGTTAGGCTGGGAGCTTCAAAAACATCATTGGAGTGGCTTGAAAGCAAATTAAAAAGGTCTAAACCAAACATTGAAGCTAGAAACATTAGACTAAACCCAAATCCTAATCAGCAAGCCTATGTATCAGTAATACACGATAAGGGTACGGCCGTACGGTGATATACGACTTTGAAGAATAACACTATGGTAATATAGAGAAAGCACCGGTGTATCAAAGTGTCTGATACAGTATGGTTGGGTTAGTGAAGTATCGATAATACAGCAGCAAACTACAACTTAAGTACTGCATGTTACAAGAGTTTCATTCTCCTGATGAGAACACGTGTCATAAATATGGATATGCAATGAAGGGAAACACACAAGCTTGTAGACAGTATATCAAGTAAGAAAATTTACGCTAAACCTTCACAAATCCTGATAAATACATTATATGGCCCAATTTGAGACCTATGGCGTACCAAAATTTCTATAGGCAAGCAATAAGCCATTGAAGTGTCAAGGCATACACTTATGAAACGTTGGAAATGATAACTCACAAGCTTTTGCTACTGTTTTGCGTTTAATGAGACGTCTATCGCATGGGCAGCTTATTTCTTATATGGTACAGCAAAGTTTGATACCTAAGCAATATGATGCAGATGGTACATGTAACATGTCCAGATGCATAGGTATGTAGCTATGAAGGACGAACTCAAGATGAGAGCTTGCATGCTCCTTGTCGTGCTTGACATTTATCACATCATGTTGGTTTCATGGAGCTCATATTACTAGCAGTACCAGAACACCTATAATAAATGAATACTGGTTGCTTACAGAAGAAAAAAGCATGAAGGTGCCAATGTGCTGTTTACCTGTTCTAGGACACCATCAAGTTTACATGATCGAGCAAGTGTAACCAAAGCATGGACACCACCAGCCTTTGCAACTTCTAAGCTACACTTGTCATCAGCAGCCAGGTTTGCAAGCGCGCCAGCAGCACGTTCCTAAAGAAAAAACAAATAGCAACATATATAGACTAATTGGTCCAGATACTTAGTTAAATTGGAAATATGAGATTGAAAATTAAAGGCTTCATACAAGAACTCCATCAGTTCCAGCAGGCCAACGAAATATTAGATCGACCAGGGCCTTGATACCACCAGATACTGAAATAGCCGCCTGAAGAAGTGCAACCAATGAATTATTACAAAAATTACCCCAATAATAAGAAGTTATACAATGAATCAGCATCCAAAGAATAATAACCTTGTGGTCCTCGCCTACAGAGAGATTCCAAAGGCCACCAGCAGCCTCCTCAGCAACAAGCCTATTCATCGACTTGGCTAAATTAGTGAGTATTGTAATGCCGCCTTCATCTGCAACTGCCTTGGCAACCTTGGTATTCACTGACAAGTTGGCAATAGCCTGCATGGTGACATTAACTAATGTGAGAAGATGGTAAATGCAAGCAAGAACACTAAAAACAAAGGGCACAGAGAAACAATTTATTACTTTTGCTGCTTCAGATTGTGCACTCTCCCTTGAGCACCTTGCAAGGTCCAGCAACATTCGGATGCCCCCGTTCTGCATCACCGCCTCCGACCTTGCAGGATCCACATTTGCACTCTCGTCATCCATAACTACAAACGTAGCAAGCGCAGTAGCTGCCCGCTCCTGCACATCCTCCTGCAAACTCTTCAATAGTCTAAGCAGCAGTGCGGTGCCCTTCTGCAGCCAGAAACCATCCATGCCTTGTGGGTTGGACTCCGCAATTCGGAGAAGTGATTGTGACAGGATCCACTCGATCCATGTCATTGTATCACCAGCTATCTTGTCTTTGTGACTCCAGTTACATTGATTGAAAACCTCGTGCTCTTTCACATCCACAACTGGAAACATGGTCTCAAAAGTTTTGAAGTCGCTGTTGATCGTTAGCACAACCTTGCCCTTAGAGTTACTAAATACAGCAGGATTGTGAAGCTGTTCCTCCTCAACAGAAATGCAGTTCAGCGTGCATATAAGCTTGAGGGTTTTGGCATGGGAAATGAGGCGTGAAACAGCACTTGGCGGAACATCAGTGCGGGAGACGTCAAGGGCAATAAGGGAGGGAAGCTGGGTCCAGGAGGTGGATGCAGTAGCCCATTTCAGGTTCTGGCATCCTGCTACAGAGAGGAACCGGAGAGAGTGGATACCAGCAAGGGCGGCCTCATCCACGGTGCCACAATCGAGGAAAGCCACGTCCTCGAGGAGGGGGCAGCAGCGGGCGAGCGCTCCGACGGCATCCGCGTCAGCTTCACGGAGACCCGAGAGGCGCAGGCGTCGGAGTTGCGAGCAACAAAGCGCGACGTGGCGGAGGGCGTCGCTGGAGATGCGCTCGAGAGGATCGGGTCCGATCTGGAGGCTCTGGAGGGCCTCGTGCCGCGCGGCGAGGACAGCGAGCGTGGCATCTGTGAGGCCGCGGCAGCCATCGGCCACCACCTCGCGGAGACCGCGCGCGCGGAGGCCCGGGACGGCCTCTGCCGCCTCGTGGCCGCGCAGGCGTAGCCGACGCAGGCTCCCGCACCGCGAGGCAAGCGACGACGCCACCTCCCGGTCGTAGCGGTGCGCGCGGAGGTCGAGCGTGCTCCACAGGCAGGGTGACGAGCCGAGCGCTCGCCAAGCCCGGCACGCTGACGCCATGCTGGCGCGGTCGCGGTAGTTCAGCCGCGCGAAGAGCTGCAGCACCGTGTCGTCCGGCAGCGCCCTCCAGTCCACCTCCACCGCCGCCGCATCCTCCTCGCCTTCCGGCCCCGCCGAAACAACACGCGACGCGCCCCTCACCACCCTACCATCCCGTTCCCTGCACGTCCGCCGCCGCACCCGGCGCGTCATCCCGAACGCCCAAACCCAAACCCTAGCTCCCCCACCCCACGCCGGCGACTCCACGCCACCACACACGCACCAAACACCCAAATCCCCAAATCGGCAGGTAGTTAGCCAGCTCCCGCCGCGAGATCGACAGGCCACCACCCTCCCGCCGCGTTATCGGGCGGGGGCAGGGGGCAGCTGCACCGATCCGGGGGTTTCCAGCTCGGCGCCGCGACGCGACGCGAGCCGAGGAAGCCGGTGGCCTCGATCCGTTCCGCGGGCCGGTGGATCCGACCGGGCCACCGAGAGGCCACCGACCGGGTCTGCGTGCTTCCGTACCCTTTCCTCACCTCCTGCTAAAGAGGTGGAAGATCAGGCGGAGAGGTGGAAGCGGGGTCGGACATTATATATGGCGTATGCGTATACGCAGCTGCGTATGCGTATACGCAGCTCCAGTCTAGATACGACGTCGGGGGAGAGAGTATGTACGGAGGCACCAAAGCAAAGCAACTCCGGAGTTGCGAAGAGAGGCTCGGGTGGTGTTTGTAATGGGAAATGGAAACTGTCATGGGAAAACAATCCCCCTTCCCCTCCAGCCACGGTGAGCTTCGGCAGCAGCAACCCCTCTTCGGCCATGGCGCCCCCACCCTCCCTGGCCCGACTACCGCCACCGCTAGGGCCTCTAAGCCGTCCGGCCTCTATCCCTACCGCCCCGCTGGGCCCTTCTATACCCGCCGGAGTTGGAGATGGAGCTCGCCAGAACCCAAGCGTCATCGTCTTCTTCGTCTCCGGCGCGTGTGCAGGTGCAGTCGGGCACGAACGCGGGAGGGAGAGGCGCCACACGCGAGGATCGTGTAATAGAGTTTCCAATTTGGGAGACGGGAAATTAAGAGGGAAATAAAGACTAGCATATCTATCTTATACCCCTTTTTATTCTAATCCATTTCTCTTATCCTATCTCAATCCCCATCCAAACGAGCCCTCAAGGCTTTTTTGCATGGATGTGATCTAATTCTGGTAGTAGTTTTGGAGGAGTGTCATATCAAAACACTTCATAAGAAAAAATTATTTTTATATGCAGGGGCGAATCTACAATTAGGCCAAGGAGGGCTAAAATAACAGAAGAGGGCTTCTAGTTGGGCTTCGCATTGGACCGCTAGACTGTTGATGGGCTCCTTGTATTTGCAACCCACCAAGGGGGCTGCAGCCCCACTGGATCCGCACTGTTTATATGGAAGAAGAGCTAGAACCGTTTTTTATGTACAAGGAAGGAGCTACAATTTATTCACTCCAGTTCCCGCTCTTCCAAAGAAGCACCTAGCAGAGAAAAAGTCATGCCAAACAAACACTCACACCGACACACCCTACTTGTAAGTAGAAGGCTAGGAGCACATGAGTTTTTATTAATCCGAATGGTAATTAAACTTTAGTACTACTATATTCAAATATCTATATCTATGCGTTGACAACTAAAATTGTCCAAGAGCTTTCTGGGGAAATAAGTTAGGTCGGGTTTGTCAAAGTAGTCAAAATGCAGAATGAACTTCACCATTGTGTTTCTCTCTGTCGAGTTGATCAAAAGAGCATATATAAAACGTCCAATTTAGAGTTTGGACGAAGAAATTATGGCTTCAGAAAAAAGTCACCATGCAGAACTCAGCTATGTTGAGTTTGCCTTGTTCCTCGGGTGATAAAGCTAGCTAGGTTGGATTGCAACCCGACTGATCCAATTTTGATGGGCCAATTCAAAGTTGAGTTGTATTTTAATGGGTTTTGTAAGGTATTTCTACCCCTCATGTTATATGACCTCCCTCTCCTTATAAATACAAGGGACACCACCCATTAAAGTGCCAAACACACACAATTGTTAAACAATCAATGTACTCTTTGTCCTAATCTTTCCAACCTCCATGTTGTTTTTCATCGCTTGACCCAACAACCAAGAATAGCATCCTAGGCTTGTTGGCCGACCTAGGGCAACTTGGCGACGTCCTTGCCTCGACGAGGTCTGTCGATAGAATATCATGGGCAGTCCTCCGAGAGGTATCCCACGAAGGTAGATTGATCGGCAGAGGTGCGCGTAATCAAGAACAAGAAGGCAACAGAGACACAAGAGTTAGATAGGTTCGGGCCGTCAGCACGACGTAATACCCTACTCCTGTGATCTGTTGGTTTGTATTGACTATTGTATGATATTGCGTGTGTGATTGGATGTGGGATGGGGCATGCCGACTAGGGGACCCCTGCTCCTCCTTATATACTCTAGAGGGGTAGGGTTATAAGGAAAATATCCTAGTTGGTTACATGGCAAGTATTAGATTATAATATCTATAGTATCTGATCAGATCTTCTAGGTGTGTTGCGATGTATGCGAGCAATGTTGTGGGCCGCAAGTCTTGAATCTTGTGGGATGGACTGTCCTTGACCGTGCGGCCCATGTCCCTTGCCGTGGATACCTAGGGTTATACCCCCCACAGCTAGTCCCCGAGCACCTTGTATCCTTTGAGCAGCACCGTCTTGAACAAGTCCGACCAGTTTGACGTGAAGCCGACCAGTTTTACTGGTGATCCAAGCAGTGGAAGTCGAAAAGCTGACCAGTTTAACTGGTGACCTGGCGGTGAAAATCAAAGCCGACCAGCTTAACTGCCGACCTGGGCGGTGAAAATCAAAGCTGACTGATTTAACTGGCGACCTAGGCGGTGAAAGTCAATGCCGACCAGTTTAACCGGTTAGGAGACCTTGGACTTAGCCAAGTAAGGCTTGCTAGAAGGATGTAAGGGGTTCAAGATAAAATTTAAAAATTCTTCCCCTTAGAAGAAGTGTAGCCACTTAGACTCCGTCAATAAGGAGGGTAAATCAAGAAATAAACACTACATTCACCGCCAGGTGAAGTGTAGCCACTTAAGCCCCCTTTGGCACGTCTCATCCAAAATGGCTTCACCAGTGAAGCCAAAGCCGGTGAAGCCAGAAAAACTGGATTTTTCCGGCTTCTAGTTCATTTTAACCCCAACTTACAAAACGGCTTCACGCTACAGTGCCTCGATTTGCGCAAAATAGATGAAGCCGAAGCCGGCATAAGCCGTGCCAAAGAGGCCCTTAGTCCCCGAGCCTACTGGAAGATGAAGAATGAATCTTGTAGCAGGGTCAAAGAAAAGAAGTCTAAAAGCTTGCTGACGTCATCTGACATGCGCGTATCAAGACCCTAGACATGCTGCCCAAGATCAGCACCCTGATCCGAACAACATGGAGCAGCTTGATAGCACACCGATGAGACGTAGCAAGACCCGACCGCCAAGGGAGTCCCTAGCTTAGCTGGTGACTCTTGCACGAAGAATCCAAACACCGAGGAGTCCCTAGCTTAGCTGGTGACGCTTGCACGAAGAATCCGAATGCCGATGAGTCCCCAGTTTAGCTGGCGAGCCCTCAGCGTGGCTGACGATAAAGCGATGAACAATCCAAACATCGAGGAGTCCCTAGCTTAGCTAGTGAGCCCCTAGCGTAGCTGACGATGAAGTGACGAACAATCTGACCAGTTAGTTGGCGAAGAATCGAGCACCGAGTAGCCCAACCAACTGGTCGGCAGTGAAGTGAGCGCCGAGTAGAAGTGAACGCCGAACAGTCCAACCAGCTGATCGACGACGAAGTCCATGAACCTAGCGGTCTGACCAGTTGATCGGTGGAGAAGCCCGAGTACCAGGTGGTCCGACCACCTAGATGATGATCCCTACAATACAAATATGTAGAACGGGTAGTACATGATGTAAAAATAAAATATATAAACTCTGAAGAAGAATCAGCAATGGTGATAAAATAGCGTATGTAGCTCGGCGATCAGTTGATGTGAACACTTAGTGTTATTCTAAAGATGTATTTATATTTAATATAAATCGTCCGACCAGTTAGTGTGTAGCTGAGTCTACAGCCCTAGCTAACCTGTTAACCATAACGCAGAGAGCGAAGCCCATGTGCGTGTAGAAAGAGCAGGTGTCGCTAAGGAGCTGCCGCTCGCCACCCCAAATGTAGAGGGCAGGCGCTCGTGCACGTGTAGGGAGAAGCCAGAGACAGGGCCGTCTCTAGAAACATCCGAGCATCAACATGACTATTCGGGGATTTGCCTTAGACTTAGTTGTATGTCATCTTTAAGATGGTATACATGAAAGAAAATCATTTGGAGAGCAAACATGGAGAAAACAGCTCGGAGAAACATCATGGAGATATATGAAGGTTGGAGAATATTTAGAAAAATGTTAAAGCATGACTTAGCTTTAGACAGAACATCTAGTCGGTGGCGTATGGCGTTATCTGGTCGGTGTTGACGAAATTGCCCAGCCCTCGAGCTTTCTCGAACTGTCATCATGCCGGCAGTCGTGGTTGTCATGGCACCATTCTTCACGGCGATCATCATTGCGATGAGGCAGGTGATCGAAGCGAGTAGTCGGGCGACTTTGTCTTTATGCGGATGGACGGAGTCATAGTCGAACGGGCGTAGTCGCTTAATATGTAGTCAAACGAGGTGTTTTGATCTCATGTATGCATGGAGTCTACCCTTGCATGCTCTAGGAGATGATGTTACGTCGATCCGAGGCGAGGTGTTTTGATCTCGCGATGTAATCGCATAAAAACACATGAAAAGGTCAACTAGCTCATTAGTCCCCTGTGACACGAGAAGAGCCTAGTAGTTAGCCTGGGGCGCAGCCTGTTTCTGGATCCGCCCCTGCTTACGTGCATGTGCACATGCAAGTGCCTTAGCAATCTGTAGTTGGCTTCCATGTAGATGTACACGTTACACCTTCCTTATTTGCTTCTTGTTGATCAGAGGAAACATCGCCCAGCATTGCATGCATGTCAAGATCCTGAAACCTTGCCTTGCATGTCCTGCATGCCTTCGTGGCCTCCTTGCTAGCTCGTGATCATAGCACGTACACGATCGGACACGGTGCCGATGCATCAGTATGTAAACGATCGTAGTGACGGGATTGGCGACTCATGGAACAAATCGATTTGACACCATTGGAGAGCTCAGA